CTTCATTCAGCAGTGTCGTGTCTGCATATTCCAGCCATGGATGTGCAGTTCATGACTCTAGCACTTTGTTTTCTTTTATTTTTCGGAGTTTTTAAGTCCGCGACCGGCGACCCATTCAGCGGCCGCATTGTTTACAGCCGTGAACAGCTGTTGGCGCTGCGCCAAGCCCGGCCACCTTCGTGGGAGAGACCGGACATCCCCGCTAAGCTCCGCAGGAGAAGGAGAGGATGCAGGGCTGGAGTTCAGCATCGGGCAAAGCGGAGGCGTTACAAACCAACTGTCCCGTCCATCGTCATGGGAAACGTGAGGTCTCTCCCCAACAAGATGGAAGAGCTCACAGCGCTAACTCGGCTGCAGTGGGAGTATAGGGAATGTAGCCTCATGATGTTCACGGAGTCATGGCTGAACGAACTCACTCCGGACCCGCTCGTAACTTTGGACGGATTTCACCTCGTCAGAGCGGACCGGAGCGTGAGGGAGAGTGGTAAGAAGAAAGGAGGCGGGATAGCGGTGTATGTGAATGAGAGATGGTGTAATGCTGGGCACGTCAGTGTTAAAGAGCAGCTCTGCTCTAAGGACATTGAGCTGCTGGCTGTGAGTTTGCGGCCTTATTACCTGCCGAGGGAATTTTCGCACGTCATCGCGTTAACTGTTTACATCCCCCCCTCGGCTGAGGCTGCCGCAGCCTGTGAACTCCTCCATAATGAAGTGTCCAAGCTACAGACATCACACCCTCAGTCTCTGATCATCATCTCTGGAGACTTTAATCATGCATCGCTGTCCTCCACTCTCCCTACCTTCAGCCAGTATGTAAACTGCCCAACAAGAGACAATAAAACTCTGGACTTACTGTATGCAAACACCAAGGATGCATACACCTCCTCCCCGCTTCCCCCGCTGGGCCGCTCAGATCACAACCTGGTGAGACTGCAGCCCATTTACATACCTATGGTGAAGAAACAACCCCCCACCATCAGGTATGTTAAGAGGTGGTCTGAGGAGGCCACTGAGGCGCTGCAGGACTGTTTTGAGACCACAGACTGGGATGTACTGTGCGGCCCACATGGTGATGACATCGACACCATGACTGACTGCATCACGGACTATATTAACTTCTGTGTTGAGAACACCGTACCCACCAGGAAAGTACGGTGTTTCTCCAACAGCAAACCCTGGGTGACCCCGGAACTGAAAGTCCTCCTGAAGGAGAAGAGGAGGGTCTTTAAATCTGGGGACAAGGAGGAGCTGAGGAGGGTGCAGAAGGAGTTGAAGAAGAAGATCAGAGAGGGAAAGGCCAGCTACAAGACCAAGATGGAAAACCTTTTGCAACAGAACAACGCAAGGGAGGTCTGGAGAGGCCTAAAATCCATCTCAGGTCATAGCAGGGGCCATGAGAGGGGATCTGAAGCAGGAGACAGGGAGTGGGCCAACGAGCTGAATCTGTTCTTCAATAGATTTGACTCTACTCCCACTCCTCCCCCGACTCATCTAACCAACGACCCGTCTGCTGCTCCTCCTTCTTCTTATTCTTATTCACACCACCTCAGTCCCATGGCACCGACACCATCAACCCCCCTCCACTCATCCTCCACCACCCCCTCCAGCACCACCCCCAGCCTCTCCATAACAGCTGACCAGGTGAGAAGTGAGCTGAGGAAGATGAAGCCAAGGAAAGCCACGGGTCCTGACGGCATCAGCCCCAGACTCCTGAAAGACTGTGCAGACCAGCTCTGTGAGGTGCTACTGCACATCTTCAGCTTGAGCCTGAGTCTGGAGAGGGTCCCAACACTGTGGAAGACTTCCTGCGTGATTCCTGTCCCCAAGACAGCGCACCCTAGGGAGCCCAACCACTTCAGACCTGTGGCCCTCACTTCTCACCTGATGAAGACTCTGGAGAGGATCGTGCTGAGGAACCTCCGCCCCCTGGTGAGCTCTCATCTGGATCCTCTGCAGTTTGCGTACCAGCCGAACATCGGGGTGGATGACGCAGTCATCTACCTGCTGCAGAGGTCCATGGCTCACCTGGAGAACACTGGCAGCACTGTGAGGGTCATGTTTTTTGACTTCTCCAGTGCGTTCAACACCATCCAGCCTTCACTGCTCAGGGGGAAGCTCGAGCGGGCGGGAGTGGACTGTCACCTAGCCGCATGGACCGTGGACTACCTCACAGACAGACCACAGTTTGTGAGGCTTCAGAACTGTGTATCGGACATGGTGGTCTGCAGCACGGGGGCTCCACAGGGGACAGTGCTCTCCCCCTTCCTCTTCACCCTGTACACCTCAGACTTCAGCTACAACTCTGGGAGCTGTCACCTCCAGAAGTTCTCTGATGACACAGCCATCGTCGGATGTGTATCGTCAGGGGACGAGCGGGAATACAGGACTGTCATCACTGACTTTGTCAACTGGTGTGGCACAAACCACCTCCAGCTCAACGCCAGTAAGACAAAGGAGATGGTTGTGGATTTCCGCAGGAGGGGGACACCTCAAACAGTTCCAGTGAACATACAGGGTCTGGACATCGAGATGGTGGAGTCCTACAGATTCCTGGGTGTCCACCTCAACAACAAACTGGACTGGTCAACAAACACAGACGTTCTGTACAAGAAGGGCCAAAGTCGTCTCCACCTGCTGAGGAGACTGAGGTCCTTTGGAGTGTGCAGGACTCTGCTCAGGACTTTCTATGACTCTGTGGTAGCATCTGCACTTTTCTATGCAGTGGTCTGCTGGGGGGCAGGGAGCACCGAGAGGGACAGGAAGAGACTGAATAGACTGGTCAGGAGGGCCGGTTCTGTCCTGGACTGCTCTTTGGACTCCCTGGAGGAGGTGGGTGAGAGGAGGATGTTAACAAAGCTTATATCCATCATGGACAATCCCTCTCACCCACTGCACCAGACTATGGGGGCTTTAGGCAGCTCCTTCAGCAGCAGACTGAGACTCCCACCCTGCAGGACGGAGCGCTACCGCAGATCATTCCTCCCCTCTGCAATAAGACTTTACAATGAACAGTAACAAAACTGGATTTACACCACCACTTTTTTTATGGCATTTAAATTGTGTATATTGCAGAAAGCTTTATTTTTTCTTCTCCCTTTTCTCTTTTCAATTTTTTTTTCTTAATTATTACATTTATTAAGTTCTTAATATTAGGACCCTTATTGTTATAACTGCATTTTGCACTTTCTGTCTTGTCTGTGATGCTGCTGTGACAAAAAAATTTCCCCCATGGGGGATCAATAAAGGAATATTCTATTCTTCTATTCTATTCTATTCTAAAAGCGCCTTTCTGGACACCCAAGGACACTGTACAGGCAGGGAGGCTGAGGCTTATCTTCTTACAAGGTTGATTGCAACCTGTTAACAGAGGTTGGGCACAACCTTATAAATGTAAAGGCATGTAGAGCCAAGTCAGAGCCTCAATGTCCCACATCAACCTGTCTGGGTTTGAGTGTCAGCTCCAGGTGAAATACACACAGTTCCTCATGAATTGCAGAAGCCAAGTGATCTTGCAGCCATGCAGATGCAATAAGAATAAGAATAAGAACTTTATTAATCCCCGAAGGGAAATTCAATTGTCTGTTGTCTCATTTGACATGTCTCTAAAAGTTGTCTACCATTTATCCAAGAGTTAAAAAGTCTGATGGCTGTGGGTACAAAAGATCTTTTGAATCTTTCTGTCCTGCAGCAAAGAGAGAGGAGCTGTCCACCACCATTGGCCCTTTGGTCCATTAAGGTGTTGTGAAGTGGGTGATCCATGTTCTTGAGAGTAGTCTCCACCTTCCTCAGTGTAGATCTCTCCACCACATCCTCCACTGAGTCCAGCTTGAGTCCAACCACAGAGCCAGCCTTTTTCACCTTATTCAGACGTCTTGCATCTTTGTGTTTGATGCTTCCTCCCCAGCAGACTGCAGCGTAGAACAGAACACTTGCCACCACAGACTGATAAAACATCTGCAGCATTTTACTACAGATGTCTATCGATCAGAGTCTTCTCAGGCAAAAGAGGCGGTTCTGCCCCTTTCTGTAGATGAAGTCTGTATTCTTAGAACAGTCCAACTTATTATCCAGATGTACACCTTGGTATTTATATGATGTCACCACTTCAATGTCCACTCCACAGGTGTTCACTGCCTGAAGAGGGGGTTTGGATTTATGGAAGTCTGTGACCATCTCCTTTGTCTTTGAGGTGTTGAGGAGGAGGCAGTTTTTGGGACTCCAGTCACTGAAGGCTCTTATTAGAGCTCTCTATTCAGCTTCTTGTTCATTTCTGATACATGCCACAATAGCGGTGTCATCTGAGTATTTCTGGTTGTGGCAGGTCAGTGCTGTATTTTAAGTCTGACGTACACAGTGTGAACAGGAACGGCGCCAGCACTGTCCCTTGTGGAGCCCCTGTACTGCTTATTAATGTCCCAGAAACACAGTTCCCCAGCCTGACAAACTGTGGCCTTCCTGTCAGGTAATCTGTGATCCAGGAAACACAGGAAGGATCCACTCTCATCTCTGTGAGCTTGTCTTTGAGTAAGGTGGTTCGGATGGGTGTTGAATGCACTTGAAGAGTCACAGAACATGATCCTCACACTAACCCCAGTTCCTCCAGATGAGACAGGGCACGGTGAAGCATGTAGAGGACAGCATCATCCACTCCAATGTGTTCTTTGTATGCAACTTACTTACTTACTTACTTAATCCTCTTCATTCCCTGTTGAACATAAGGCCGTGACTATCTGCTTCCATCTGGTCCAATCCTGTGCAGCATGTTGTGCCTCGCCCCATGTTAGATTTGCCATCTTCAGTTCCGAGATCACAGTTCTCCGTCATGTTGTCCTTGGCCTTCCTTGCTTCCTCTTTCCAGGTGGAGTCCATCTCAAGGCTACTTTGGGGATGCAGTCCTGGCTCATTCGGGGGACATGTCCGAGCCATCTGAGCCAGCGATATTTTATTTCCAGCACCACATTGCAGCAGTTTGTCTTGTCATACAGGTCCTCATTGGAAATCTTTCATATCTTCCGGAGACATCCGTTGTGGAAGGCATTGATCTTTTTCATGTCACTCTCAACCACTCTCCAGCACTCTGAGCCATAAGGCAGGACTGATTTAACATTGTTGTTGTACAGCTGAAGCTTGGTCTTAAGGCTATACTGCTTAGATTTCCAGATGGTCTGAAGGCTGGCAAAGGTGCTGCGAGCTTTCCCCAGTCTTATGCTGATGTCCCCGCTGCATGCATTGTCCTTACTGAGGAGACTTCCCAGATATGTAAACTCCTCAACATAATCGAGAGGTTTACTGTCCACAGTGATTGGTGCGTGTGGTGTTGAATTTATGCACATCACTTGGGTTTTGGAGGTGTTCATATTCAGGCCGATCTGTTTGGCAAATCTATCCATCTGGTTAGTCTTCTCTTTCAGGTGAGTGTGGTTGGTGGAAAGAGTGGCAAGGTCATCAGCATAATCAAGATCTTCTAGCCGGGTGAAAAGAGTCCACTGTATGCCTCTGGGCTTGTCCGAGATGGTTCTTCGCATGGTCCAGTCGATGGCGATCAGGAAGAGTATGGGGGAGATGATACATCCCTGGCGTACACCAGATTTCACAGGGAACCTTTCAGTGAGGTTGCCATTAACAATGACACTACATTCGTATTGATGGTAGAACATCTTTATCAATGCAATCGTCTTTGTGGGAACTCCATAGGACTCTACGATCTTTCATAAGGTGTCACGGTGTAAGCTGTCGAAGGCTTTCTGGAAGCCTATAAAGTTGATGTACCACAGACTGTTCCACTCCAGGCATTGCTCAATGATGTTCCTTATTGTAAATATCTGGTCTGTGCACCCTCTTCCTTTCCTGAACCCTGCCTGTTCCTGTCTCAGTTTGGTGTCAATTGCGGTGTCGATTCGGCCCAACAAGATTCTGCAGAAGACCTTAGATGGTATGGACAGCAATGTAATGCCTCTCCAGTTGTTGCAGTTTTGGAGATTGCCTTTCTTTGGGATTTTGGTAATCAGGCCTCTGGCCCAGTCCTCAGGAATGACATTTTTGTCCCAGATGTTCTTGAACAGGTTTGTGAGGATCTTGACTGAAGTGTTTAGGTCAGCCTTCAGCATCTCAGCGTGAATGGAGTCTACGCCTGCAGCTTTCCCGTTCTTTGTTGCTTTGATGGCACTCTTGACTTCTGTTGCATTTCTGGGGGGCTGGTGTTGATGTTAAGTATGTTATCTGCAGGTGCTGGGATAGCAGGATGTTCTGGCTCATGGCAGTTGAGGACTTCACTAAAGTGCTGCATCTACCTTGCCACCTGTTCATTCTCTATTAAGAGGTTGTTCCAGCCTTTGTCTTTGACAGGAGCAGATTGGCTGGTCTTCTTGCCACAGAGTTGTTTAGTGATTTTGTATATGACGGTCATTTCGCCTCTTGCGGCTGCCCATTCTGCTTTGCAAGCTAACATCTCCACAAAGGCCCTTTTGTCACTCCTGGCGCTCTTTCTAACCTCCTTGTCCTTGTTCTCATAGGCTTCCTGGGCCTGTTTCTGGAGTCTCAATGACTTGGTGTTCAGCATCTTTGCCTTTAGTTGTTTCCTCTGTTCGATTTTCTGGCAAGTCCCAGATGTCAGCCACTCCTTGTTGCTCTTCTCTCTGTAGCCCAGGGCTTTAGTAGCTGACTCAATGTTGGTGGTCTTGATGGTTTCCCATTTGGTGTTGATATCAGGGTCCTCATTAGTTGAGTCATCCAGGCTACCGAGAGCGCTGAAACGGTTTCTCAGCTCCAACGCAAACTCCTTGTTATTATTTGGGCATTTCAGTTTGTTGATGTCAAGTCGTCTCCTATGCTGACCCTGTTGTTTTATTGCCCAGAGTTTCAGCTTAATGCTAGCTCAGAAGGTGTAGATTCAACCGCTCAGGGGTTTTCATGATGTGTGAAGTGAGGGCCACTGGTGTTTCCTTACACCTGTGTGCCCGCCACTGGCTTGGTGTTAATCACAACAGGTGGCTGTGGTCAGAGATGCATTTTGGCCTCATACGACAACTCGTACAATATTCCTGTATCAATGTGATCATAATATTGTAATCAGAGGGGAGTAGCACGAGGTGCAAAGCCTTTGAATGAGGTGTGGACAGAGTGTGAGTGGAGAACAGCTGAGAGGAGAGATTAATCTGTGGGTTCAGCCTCCAACAATCATGGTCTATTCAGACAGAGTGGGTTCAGAGGTTTTCAAAGGTGACAGCAACACGCAGTATGAGCTCAGTGTGCATACATTTTTCTTCTGTCAACAATACTGTCAGTGATTGGATGTCTGAGCGAGTTTTCCTATGTGAGGTGTACCAGTGTTACAAAGAGGCAGAGACATCAGCTGAGTGCACACTGAAAGAAAAAGCCTTATAAATGCTTTTAAAAGGTACAGCATGGGGTGCGCTCTGTCTCTCACTGGATGACAGCTAGGAAATGCTTTGTGTGGGAACTGGGAGTTCATGCATTCAGTTCAGTGTTCACTGAACATAGACCTTAACAGCCCTAATTAGCACCAAAATAAATTCATATCTGTGTGCACTACTTTATATTTTTGAGATTTTTTTGTATATCAGTACTTCAGACATTTGGCGCTTGTTTCAAAGCAACCGTACTTTTCTAGTGTCCACAGATAATAAACTTTAATGAAAGTAGCCTACTGTTAACAGGCTATTGTTACAATCCAAGATGGCCACTGGTGTGTTTTCTCTGTAAGAGTTCCTGCTCTCTATCCACTTAATATCTGCTGAATCTTTTGACTATTGTTTGTTAAATTTCATTGTTGAATGGCATAGAGTAAAATCAAGCAATATCCTCAATTTGGACTAAAAAGTCAGCTCTGAGTGTCGTTTGCTGACTTAGAATTGCATAGGTAGTAAAAGGCAGCTAGCTACCGGCCTAGCCAGAAGGAACCACTACCACCAGGCAGCAGCTAGCTACCAGGCCAGCCAGGGAGCATCCACCACCAGGCAGCAGCAGCTATCCAACAGGCCAGCCCCAGGAGGAGTCAACACTGCCAGGCAGCAGCAGCAGCTAGCTTCCAGGCCAGCCCCAGAAGGAGCTACCACCACCAGGCAGGAGGAGCCACTACCACCAGGCAGCAGCAGCAGCTAGCCAACAGGCCAGCCCCAGAGTCTTCTCAGGCTGTCGTACCTGATCAGTTGGGGCCCAGGGTTTCCAGGTGACGCCGTTGCAGTGGAAAAGCTGGTTGGTGGTTTGATTGAAATGCAGGAGTCCCATCAGCTCTGGCACACAGGGCTTGGGTACGGAGTTATCGGATGAAGTCTAAGAGCCAAACAAATCAATGAAATCACCTTAGTGTGGTTTTACCTGGCATACTCTTAGAGGCGATTCTGCATCGGGAATCAGCTGAGCCACCGAATCTGTGGGCGAAACAGAGATTTGAAAACATTTTCACCTTCACCCTGAAAAAAACTAAGTCGATACACAAACTGAGGAATAATAAATCGTGCCTTCATACCCGGGAGGAAAAATGTCAACAGTGAGATGACCATCACAAGTTAACACACTGCGATCATCTTTGTACTCTGGATCGTGGATTCAATTCGTAGATTTAAATCACGGATCAGACTTTTCAGCGCGTTTCCGCTCAGAGATGTCTGTGGAACACTGAGAACTTATTTGGAGTCAGCGCTCAGATCACTCTGTAAATCAGCCGGCTAATGCTAACGGTAGCCGCGTGTGTGTGAGCAACACTTCGCGGCTGCGGTGCGCTGTTTGCGGACACCTCCGAGGCGGAGCCCCCCCGGTAACCGTACAGCCGCGGAACCCCCGGTCACAGTTGGAAGTTCCCGGACAGCGACGAGAACCGTCGGGCAGGCTCAGTCGGTCCTCGCTTCATCTGCTGTGTGACTCGTTTTCAGTCTAGATCGGCAGATCCAGGATGGCCATGAAAGTGCTCCAAAAGGACATGGATGAGCTGAAGACATCAATTGAGATTATGTCTTCTAATGTGGACACCATAATGAAGCAATACGCTATCATAACAGAGCTGATGGGGGAGGTGAAGCAGCTCAAAAAATGTAATCTGGAACAAGAGAAGAAAATTGTTAGCCTGGAAAATAGGCTAGATAGCTTGGAGCAATATTCAAGATTAAATGACGTGATCATAACAGGTTTGAAGATTAAACCACGAAGCTACCTCCAGGCGGTGAAATGCCTTGACTCTGCCAGCCCTGAACATGAGGAAACAACGGAGGAGCAGGTAACATCCTTCCTCCATAGTAAGGACATCCACATTGACATCAAAAGTATCGAGGCATGCCACACTCTGCCAGCTAGGAAGCTAAAGGACCACCCAGTAATACCATCTATAATTGTACGATTTGCAAACAGGAAACAGAAGGCAAACCTGCTGAAACAAGGTAGAAAGTTGAAGGGCACAAATGTATATATAAATGAACACCTCACCAAAAAAAATAGTGACATAGCCAGAAAAGCCAGGGCCCTTAAAAAAAATGGCAAAATACAGTCCACTTGGACTGCCAGTTGCAAGGTGTTTATTAAACTTAATGGCGCAGCAGAAAATTCCCATGGGCTTTGCATCAGTGCCATTGAGCAACTTGAGAAGTTCTAATGAGATCAGTAATCTGTACTACAATCAGCATTATTATTGTATGGACATGAACCGAAAACCATGATGCTTAACCTACCAAAAAAGGGCTTAAGAATAGCTCACATTAATGTTAACAGTTTGAGAAACAAAGTTGATGAAATAACAACCTTGATAAATGGGGAAAATATTAATATTCTTGCTGTCTCAGAAACACACTTTGATGATTCGATTACAGATATGGGAGTAGGTATATTAGGCTTTAACATTTTTAGAAATGACAGAAATATTTTTGGGGGAGGTGTAGCAATATATATACAGAGCCATATTCCAGCCAGGGTTAGATCTGACTTGATGGTTCCAGGTATTGAGGCTCTTTGGTTGGAGGTATATCTTGCTCATTGTAAACCGTTTGTGGTTGGCTGTGTTTATAGGCCCCCAAGCTCAAATGTGCAATATTTAGAAGAATTATGCTCTGTACTGATCAAGGTAACAGATATGGCTAAAGAAACATTTGTCCTGGGTGACTTAAATATTGATTGGCTGTCTGAATCATGCCCATTAAGGAAAAAGTTGCATAGCACTGCACTAATTTGCAATTTAACTCAGATGGTGAACAAGCCAACTAGAGTGTATTGCAATGATGCTGGACATACATCTGCAACCTGTATTGACCATATATTTACTAATAACATAGATTTGTGCTCCAAAGCAATATCTGTCTCTGTGGGGTTTAGTGATCATAATGTTGTGGCTATTGTAAGGAAAACGAAAACTCCAAAAGCAGGGCCTAAAGTATTGCATAAAAGATTATATAGAAGATTTTGTGAAAATGATTTTATTAGGGATATTGAGAATGTTGAGTGGAATCGGGTGCTGGCATTAAATGGAGTTGAAGAAGCTCTCAAGTTATTTAATGAATTATTTCTGGGTGTAGCAGATAGGCATGCACCATTAAAAAAATTTACAGTGGGCTCTAGCAAAGCATCATGGATTGATGACGAGCTCAGACAGTGTATGCGTGAAAGAGATGAGTTGAAGAAAGCTGCTATAGATCTTAAAGGAACTGAAAAATGGCGAATGTATTGTATAATGAGGAACAAAGTCACAAAGTTAAACAGAAAGAAGAAAAAGGCATATTATCAAAATCTAATTCAGGAGGGGAAGAATGATGGCAACAAACTGTGGAAAACTCTGAATGAAATAATGGGCAGAGGCCAAAGTAACTCACCTTCTTTCATTGAGGTTAATGGAAGCTTTTTAACAAATGCAAAGGATATTGCAAACCACTTCAATGATCATTTTACAAATAAAGTTGATATGTTGAGGAAAGACATGGGCTCTCCCAGAGTTAGTGGTAAGTCACATGAAATAATATCCAACATTATTATGAGAAACAAACAGTGTGTTTTTAAGTTTCAACCGATAAGAAATGATGATGTAAAAAAACTGCTTGATGGGTTAAACAATGATAAACCAGCTGGTATGGATAATGTTGATGGACGGTTACTTAAAGTTGTTTCCAATATAATCTCCTTGCCAATATGTCATATTTTTAACTTGAGTCTGCAGGAGGGGTTATTTCCACAGATCTGGAAATCTGCTAAGGTTATACCTCTTCCGAAAAACAAACGTGAGAGTTTTTCAGCTGTCAATAGCAGACCCATTAGTATTTTACCAGTGCTGAGTAAGCTAATGGAAAAAGTTGTTCTCGAGCAGGTACTTCATTATTTTTCAATTAATCAATTAAATTCCGAGTTTCAACATGCCTATAGGTCAGATCACTCTACGTGTACGGCCCTGACAGATATGGTGGACAAATGGTTATCTTATATAGACAAAAAAATGATGGTTGGAGCTGTGTTACTAGACTTTAGTGCAGCATTTGATGTTGTAGACCATGGGATATTGTTAAGGAAACTGACTGCATATGGGTTTAGTCCAAACTCAATCAATTGGATGAATAGCTATCTATCCAATAGGATTCAGTGTGTGTTTTTTAATGGCTGTCTTTCCTCTTTCAAATGTTTACAGTGTGGCGTGCCTCAGGGGAGCTGCCTTGGTCCTCTGCTGTACACTATATTTACAAATGACATGCCTTTAGTTTTAGAGAAGAGTGGTTGCACTTTATTTGCAGATGATTCGACTGTCTATTTTGCATCAAACAGTTTATCCGAGTTGAGAAATACACTTCAATCTGAACTGCAACTATTATCGGACTGGACATGTGAAAATAGACTTATTTTGAATGTAGCAAAAACTAAAAGCTTAGTGCTTACTGCAAGACATGCCACTCGAGAGGATTATCACCTTAGGTTATCACTCAAAGACTCAAACATTGCGCAGGTTCAAGAGGCACTTTTGCTTGGTGTCACACTCGATGCAAATTTAACATGGGAAAAACACATTGAAAACATTGTAAAAAAAATGGGTAGGGGTATTGGATGCATTAAAAGATGTTCCTCATTTCTTACTCCAGCTTCTAGAGTGCTGGTGACACAGGCACTGGTGCTATCTCACCTTGATTACTGCTCTGCATTATGGTCAGGTGCCGACAAGAAACATTTGTCCAAACTTCAAATAGTTCAGAATAAAGCTGCAAGGCTGGCATTGCACAGTCCATTGGGTGTAAGGCAGAGCACTGAGAGACTGCATGCTAGTCTCTCATGGCTCAGAGTTGAGGAGAGGTTGGCTTGTAATTTAATGAGTTTCTTTAGGAATATTTGTTTTAACAAAGAATCTGTTTGTTTGAACTCGCAAATACAGTATGTGAGAGATCGTCATAATTATAATACCAGGCAGGCTACTAGGGGTGACATGGTTAAAGAAAAACCCAGAACAAATGCAGTCTGCAGATCTGTAATGTATCGAGCAATTACCATTTGGAACACTTTACCGACAATGATCACGGAAGCACCTAGTAAGGCTAGTTTTAAGAGACTCCTTAAAAGACACCTGACAAATTACACTAATCTTAATTGTAATCTTAACTGACTTTTAAATTTTTGTTTAATTTGTTTGCTGCTTGTTTTTTTTCCTTGTTGTTTTGTTTTTGTTTTTGTTTTTGTTTTTGTTTGTGGTTTGCTTTTACTGGACTTTTATTGTCTTGAATGACCTTTGCAAGACTGTACATGTTTTATTGAATTATGTATTGTATTGTCTTGTATTGTATTGTTTGTTTTATTTGTGGACCCCAGGAAGAGTAGCTGCTACCTTGGTGGCAGCTAATGGGGATCCGTATGAATAAAGAATAAAGAATAAAGAATATTGTGCAAAAATTCAGTAACAGCTTATTTATAAATAACAAGGAACTAACATGAATAAGATACCAGATAAAAACAGTCATTTACATTAGATAAAACCATTCATATCTCGGTTTAAACAGTCAGCAAAATGTAGGGAAAATGATTTGTCTGACTTAAGTGTACCACCTGGTCTTTACATTAATTTGGTAATAGGCAAAACATGCAAAACAATGCAGTTTAAAACATAATATAATGAATGAGTCTATGTATGACGCATATGTGCAGCAACCATAAAACTATTAACACCCTTTAAATTAAAGATCCTGTAAACCTGAAACTGACTCAAACTGCTACATCAAAAATTGGACACTTCATAAAATTCAGAAAATCATACAGTACTTTTATTTGAAGTAAATCAAACTTAGATCCATAAGAAATAAATGTTCTATTAACAAAAATAAACTATATTTACAATCAGGTAGTGACAAACACTTCCAGACAAAAAAAGCACATTACACCCAGGAATGGTGAAAGGAGAGAGGGATGAGTGAGAGGAAAAAGGGTAGTTAAAGCCACAGATAGACAAAATCCATTCGTAGGATTGGTTAACAATTTGAAATGGGAGGAATTTCTCCGTTTGGGTGGCAATCTCACTTCATCCTCAGAGGGGGGAGGTGGAGCTGGTGGCTGGTGCTCCCTGGTGCAGGGTCTCTCCCTTGGGGTCACTGTACGGTTGAGAAACAACACATTTTACTTTTGTATCTCATGAATGAAAGACTTTGGGGGAGGAGGCAGGAAGAATGGGAGTAGCAGCCGGTGATGGCTGTGCAGGATGGTCCTCTTCATCACTGCCATCACCCTCAGTGAAGAGATCATGATGTTCTGCTATGACAATCTATGTATGCATCAATATGTATTACTAACACAGGTCCAGTCGTGACAGTGTAGATTTTGATTTCCCCACAAATAATGACTTTCCTCTTTGTATCACCCACATTGTGTTTGTTGTCAGCAGACCTTCCTGATTCTCTGAATGACATGCCGCTGTTCCTGAAACTGAGTCCTGGTCTTGGCTTTAGGTGTCCTCCACGGCCTGTCTTTCCTTTACCCTCAGCTCCATATTGATTCAAGGAGACTTCCACCTCTCCTCTCGGTGTCTCTTCTCCTCTCCTTCAGGTATGTCTCTGAGGCTCTTCCACTTTAATCTACATGTTTTCTAAAGAAAGGGTAGAGCTACCTGTACCTGGTTTTCAGACCTGAGGATGGTTATGCAAATACCAGTCGTGTTACCTTGCCAATTTAACCAGTAAGCTGTATCACGTAAAGGAAGAATCTAAAAAAATGGTGCATTTCACAGGATAAGCAAAGTCTGTGATTAATTCACATTTGCCAACCTTTCTGATTGAAAATGCTGAGGTGCTGTATGACATCCACTTTCTTCCTGCAGCAGCTACAGGCTCCTTGAATTTAATAAAATAAAGTAGACTGGATGTTCACATGCATCCAGTCTACTTTATTTGTAAACCTGTAAACCTTCAAAGAACATGTGTATGTAAATCATACAAGGTAAGCTAATAACTTTCTATAAAGTTATTGAGATGCTGATTTGAATTGAATTAGTACCATCAGAGGAGCTCTGTGATGTGATCTGGGAAACTTATTGTGTTGGCTGTAGCAATGAACATCTCTCTATATAATGGCAGTCTGTAGAAGCCAAGTGATGCTTTGTTGTGATGGTACGTCTGCTTCAAAGCTATTAAAGGTCAACACGTTTTTCAAGGAGTTTTTATTCTCTTAACTCAAGGATGACATTTCTGCACATCTCTTTCTTCCTTTGAATGTTTCACTCTTTGTGTCTTTATTTTCTGCTCCTGCACAGATGCAAGGTGATCCAACCAAAGAGTGAAAGTACAAACAGCTTTACATTTGTTCTTGTTCCTGTTTACTCTCACTAAGGAGGTGCTTTGTCTGTTGGACATGTTGTACTGAGCTGTATGGACAACAGCACTGAGCTTCATATAAAATCACTCATTCAAAACACTCACTTCACCACCTGGGAGTTAATGAGCTCATGGAAAAGAAGAAACTAAGAGCCAAGATACAAAATCTGGCACACTCTATCCTGTTTGATGTATTATTCAAAGTTTATGATGAGATACTGTAACGTATATGTGCTGTAGCGCATAAGATATCACATGGAATGGAGGTTCACATGAACACATTGAATTTTGATATGATGTGCCATATCTTTGCTGAAAGAGTCTTATCAAGTCGGGCTCCAGTATTTTAAGAAACATAGAGATAAAAACACCTGAATCAGGCTGAGGAGGATGAAGTGGACACACTTCTTCAGATATGCAAGGTGAACTGGTTTTCCTCTTGGTGGACAAACCTAATGAAAGAAAGGAACAGGACACTGATGAGCCATCTTAAACTTATTGTGCAAGTACACATGTACACTGCCAGCCAGATTACGGCAACAACAATCACTGTATGCCAGTCTACAGTGGCCCTCTGGGTACACATTGTTCCAAAACTAGAAACATACCAAAGATGGTGAAGTCTGTTCCAGCACAGTCTGTTTGTGAAAGTTTGAGCCACAGACAGACCCAGTCTGATTTAACTCCTGACATTTATACTGAATAAATAAAGCAGTGCCAATATAACTTGAAGAGATTTATGTATGGACGTATTATTTCTGGTCATTCAGGGGAGAAATTGTTGTCTTAATTACCAAGAGTTAACTTTAATGATGCTTTTTAATACTTTGAGGGTTTGTGGCTTTGATATTTGCCATAAGGCTTTTTTTTTTTTTTTTTTTTTACAGAGAGAGAGAAATGTGTAATCTGCTCCAAATTCATGTAAAATGGGTCATTTAAATGTATGCAAACTTCACTGGCACAAAGACACAATATTTGATCAGCAGTGCAGTTTGTGGAGCATTTAACCCTTGGTGCTGTGCATATCACTCAGGGTCTTTTCACTAAGGTTAAGAAATCAAACTCATTTAGTGTAAAACATGAATTATTGTTACTCTGGGATACACGCCTGCTTCATGTTAAGGCCTGATACCTTAAGAGCAAATAAAAGCAAATAAAAGACCTGGGGCCTTATGTATCAACGCTTGCGGCGCAAGAAAACCTTGCGTACACCAAAATCGGCGCACACGTCCAGATTTATCAGCGCGAAACGAGCGTCGGTTCCAGCGCTAATCAACGCAAAGTTAGGAGGTGGTGTAGAAGTTGGCGTTGAGCCGATACTTGCGTTGACTGTGATTCGCACTTTGGCGACGCTGTGTGGCGGTGTTTGGTGACTCACTATGTGACAAGCATGCACCACATCCCAGTGGCCGAGCAGCACGTCACCCCACATCACGAACCAGCAGCAGACGGAGGGATGCGAGCTGATCCCTGGCGGGCCGCCGTCCTCGCGCGGGAGAATCTCATCGCCACAGTGTGAATGGGTAAGAAGTGAATACACAGTTCAATGAGCCAAATTAATTTATTTTCGCCACCAGACGCTCGAGGACATTTACGAGCCGGTCCAGCCGCTCGTTGATCCCCGCAATCCCCCTGATGATTTCTTCCTGCGATTGCAGGACCGCCTCCGTGAGGACCCTTCCACTGCGTCCGGGTGGTCCAGCGGAAGCGCCGCGGCTGGTGGAGGCTCCACCGCTTGTCGACGCGCTGGTGCTGATGCTGGTGCTGGTGCTGGGGCCGGGGTGGCCCGAATGCCGCTGGTCCTGGCCGACGACTCCGAGCCGGCGGACGGGCTGCCGCGGGCCAGCACATTGATTTCTGTGACACAATAAAAATATTGGTTCATTTCAATTCCTGCTTCTGTGTATCTGTTGCGTTTACATCTCTCTCCACGGTATCATAGGTAATGTAATCCAGTATTTAGAGGTCAGTTATGAACATTACAGTTGTTTATTGCATAAAAAGTTATCGAAAAATGAAGTTAAGGGCGAAGTATAAATCACGTCTAAAAATAGACTGAATCCCGACGTTGAAATGAAGTATAAACTTAGACTAGACGGCTAATATACGTCTTTTGCTCAGTGGGATGGCAAAGCATGTGGACATTTGTGTGACACGCCACTTACCCTGTAATAATAATCGCCACCACCCGCTGCTCAAACGGCATGAGGGTCTCCTCCCCCAGACCCCCACCTGTCTGGCCGGTACTCCTCCGGAGGGCAGCTGTACGCCGCTTGACCTCCACCTTGAGGTCCGACCACTTTTTTTTAATCTCCGCGGGGGTGCGTGTCTTGTAACCCACCGCGTTCACCCTCTCGGAAACTTTCTCCCACTCCAAGCGTTTTTGTTTTGCACTGACGCCACTGGACAGGCTGCCAAACAAAACACGCTGTCGCTCCTCCACCTCCGCCACCAGCACCTCCACCTCGCACGCAGTAAATTTAGTTTTTCTTGTCATTTTGTCTGCGTGCGAGGACAGGGAGACCCTATTTAAATAAATCTGCATATTTATAGGAGGGCGTAACGGGGACGGGCCCAGTCACTCCGACATCTGCGCTCAATTACACGCTGATTGAGATTTATCAAGGAAACACACGTGGATTTCGGCGCCCGCACACATTGATACATATGGATTTTTTTCAACGTGACGGACCTTGCGTGCGCTCGTTTCTGGTATGAGTTCCACGCAAGTGTTGATACATGAGGCCCCTGGACTTTATTTAAAGATTCAGGGTACCTTTGCAACCTTTACAGCTAGTGCATTATTACATTTGTTTGTGTGACATAATGTGATCTGGTATTTCTTATGACAAGATGCCAGCAGAGTCAACTAGCAGAAGTGGCAGCAGAAGTAGTGGAAATTATGAATCCTCCAACAGTCTGCTGAACAGAAGTGAAAGTGATGTTGGCTGTCTGACTCTTCAGTAACAACTTTGCTCACAAGAGCCTAAAAAAAAAATCACCATAAAAATAAAGTCTGAGATCAAGTCACATGCCAAATCTAAATTGCATCAGCACACACATTCTACAGGGGTTTGAAAAAGTGTTTCCCCCCTTCCTGATTCTTCTTCTTTTTTTTTTTTTTTTGCATGTTTGTCACACGCAAATGTTTCAGATCATCAAACAAGTTTAAATATCAGTCAAAGATAACACAAGTGAACCCAAATGGAGTTTTTAAATGAAACTTTTTATTAGTAAGGGAGTAAAAAAACTAAACCTACATGGCCCTGTGTAAAAAAGTGATTGCCCCCTAAGCCTAATAACTGGTTGGGCCACCCTTAGCAGCAACAATTGCAATCAAGCGTTTGCGATAACTAACAGTGAGTCTCTTTCAGCAATGTGGAGGAATTTGGGCCACTCATCTTTGCAGAATTGTTGTAATTCAGCCACATTGGAGGGTTTTTCAGCATGAACCTCCTTTTTAAGGTCAGATCACAGCATCTCAATAGGATTCAGGTCAGGACTTTGACTAGGCCACTCCAAAGTTTTCATTTTGGTTTTGGATTTCTTCAACCATTCAGAGGTGGACTTGCTGGTATGTTCTGGATCATTGTCCTGCTGCAGAACCCAGGTTTGTTTCAGCTTAAGGTCAGGAACAGATGGACAGACATTCTCCCTCAGGATTTTTTGGTAGACAGCATAATTCATGGTTCCATTTATCACAGCAAGTCTTCCAGGTCCTGAAGCAGCAAAACAGCCCCTGACCACCATGCACCACCACCATATTTTACTGTTGGTATGGTGTTCTTTTTCTGAAATGCGGCATTATGTAATGGGATACACACCTTCCAAAAAGTTCAACTTTTGTCTTGTCAGTCCACAGAGTATTCTCCCAAAGGTCTTGGGGATCATTGAGATGTTTACTGGCAAAATTGAGACAAGCCTTAATGTTCTTTTTGTTCAGCAGTGGTTTTTCGTCTTGGGAATCTGCCATGCAGGCTGTTTTTGCCCAGTGTCTTTCTTATGGTGGAGTCATGAACACTGACCTTAACTGAGACAAGTAAGGCCTGCGGTTCTTTGGATGTTGTTGTGGGGTCTTTTGTGACCTCTTGGATGAGTCGTTGCTGCGCTCTTGGTGTAATTTTGGTTGGCCAGCCACTTCTGGGAGGATTCACCACTGTTCCATGTTTTCATCATTTGTGGATAATGGCTCTCACTGTGGTTCACTGGAGACCTAGACTTAGACTTAGACTTTATTCATCCCTTGGGATGGCTCCCACAGGAAATTCGGGTTACCAGCAGCTTTTACAAGTGAAGAGGTAGAAAAGGTGCAAAGTGCAGCATGCAAAACGTTGTTACAACAAAAAAGAAGATAAAATACAAAAAATAAAATAAAATAAGATACAAGTTACACAATCTACATAAACTCTATAGACTCTTGCACTTTGAAAAAGGTACATAGTCTGCATTGAGATGGAAAAAAAGAAATACACTCCAAATAAAATATAGAAGTGGCATATGATGGTGTGTGTGTGCGTGTGTGTGTGCGCGCGCATGCGTGATGGGTGGATGGTTGCAGCATGTGAGCTAGGTGGGTGGTGTCTGCCGCCTATTCCCTACTGTCCTCAGTCACCTCCTACCCCCCAGTGAGGAGTTGTACAGTCTGATGGCCTGGGGGATAAAGGAGTTCTTGAGTCTGTTGGTCCGACACTTGGGAAGGAGCAGTCTCTCACTGAACAGACACCTCTGGCTGCTGATGACAGAGTGTAGCGGATGACTGGCCTTGTCCATGATCTCCAGCAGTTTGTTCAGTGTTCGCGTCTCTGTCACCAGAGAGTCCAGCTTCATGCCGACCACAGAGCCGGCCTTCCTGATCAGTTTGTCTAGTCTGGATGCGTCCTTCTTGGATTTGCCGCCTCCCCAGCACACCACGGTGTAAAAAAGGACACTGGCAACCACAGACTGGCAGAACATCCGCAGCAGTTTGCTGCAGATGTTAAAGGACCGGAGTCTCCTCAGGAAGTACAACCTGCTCTGGGTCTTCCGGTATAGGTGGCTGGTGTGTGCTGACCAGTCCAGTTTGTTGTCCAGCCACAGCCCGAGGTATTTGTAGGAGTCGACAGACTCCACCTCAACTCCCTCGAGCAGGACTGGTCTCGGCTTCGGTCTGGACCTCCCAATGTCTATGACCAGCTCCTTCGTCTTTGAGGTGTTGAGATCCAGGTCGTTAAGGCAACACCAGGAGGCAAAGTCCCCCACTAGACTCCGGTATTCCTCCTCTCGGTCATCCCTGATACACCCAGCCATGGCTGTGTCATCGGCGTACTTCTGTATGTGACACAGCTCCGAATCATAGCAGAAGTCCGATGTATACAGGGTGAAGAGAACAGGGGCCAGCACTGTGCCCTGGGGTCTTTGAGTTAAGACCAGTGATGTCCCAGACCTTCTTCATGCTGTTCTCCTTCAGCTTCTGCTCCACTTTCCTCCTGTAGCTGTCCTTAGCCTCCCTGACGAGGTGTTTCACCTCCCGCTGTGCTGCTTTCATGGCCTCCCTTTCTCCGCTCCTCAAGGCAGCCTTCTTTTTGTTTAGGACAGTTTTGACTTCCCTTGTTACCCATGGTTTGTTATTAGGGTAGCAGTGGACAGACTTAACAGGGGAGACCACATCTGCGCAGAAGTTCAGGTAGTCCGTCAGACAGTATGTCAGCCCCTCTATGTCCTCGCCATGTGGGTTGGTCAGCACGTCCCAGTCTGTGGTGTTGAAGCAGTCTCTCAGTGCACTGTCCATTTCAGGGGACCACCTCCTGCTGGAACAAGTGGTTACTGGCTGCTTCTGGACCAGGGGGGTGTAGAGTGGCTGTAGGTGAACCAGGTTGTGATCTGTATTTCCTAGTGGGGGGAAGGGGAGTGGCTCTGTATGCATCCTTCACATTAGCATACAGCAGGTCTATTGTCCTGTTGTTCCTGGTGGGACAGTCTACAGCTTGGTGGAAAACAGCCAAAGTAGAGTCCAAAGTTACATGATTAAAGTCCCCAGAGATTATTGTGAAAGCCTCAGGGTGCTGTGTCTGCAGCCTTGCTGTGACAGAGTGAATCTTCTCACAGGCAGTGGCTGCGTCTGCTTTGGGTGGGATGTAAACACAGACGGAGATCACGTGACTGAACTCCCTTGGCAGATAATATGGCCGCAGGCTAACAGCTAGTAGCTCAAGGTCCCGGCAGCACCACACAGTCTTTACAGAGATGTGTCCCGGGTTACACCATCGGTTGTTCTCATACATGATGAGCCCCCCACCTTTTCTTTTACCGCTCGCTTTCGTGTCTCTGTCGGCTCTCACGGCAGTGAGTCCCAGCAGGTCCACGTTAGCGTCCGGTACGAGATGGTTTAGCCATGTCTCTGTAAAGATGAACAGTCTGCTCTTCCTGAAGATCCGTTGGTTGTTCAGTGCGGACAGCTCGTCGATTTTGTTCGACAGTGAGTTTACATTCCCCATGATTACGGAGGGAATCGATGGTTTGTAGCGCCTTCGGTTCTCCTTTAGCTTAGCCTTTAGCTTAGCTCCAGCCCTGCAGCCCCTGGGTCGTCTCCGCAGCTCCGCCGGGATAGCGTGTCATATCGCGGAGCGTCCCATTGTTCCTAGAGCCAGTAGTTCCTCTCTCGTATACGTTAGAGGAACTACGTCTGTTTGCGCGTAAATGTTAAAAATATCCATGTGATATATAAAGAGCACACAACCTCTTCACGAGAAGAGAAGAAAGTGGGGAAAAAAGAGCTAAAAAAGAGATAAAGTAAGTTAAGAGAGCTAAAGACTGGAGAGCTACTGGAGAGGCAGCCGCCTCCTACGGCGCCAAAAGTTTTAGAAATGGCTTTATAAACTTTTTCCTTACTGACAGATCTCAATTACTTTTCATTTGTTCCAGAATTTCTTTAGATCTCAGCATGGTGTCTAGCTTCTGATGATCTTTTGGTCTACTTCACTTTGTCAGGCAGGTCCTATTTAAGTGATTTCTTGATGGAGAACAGGTGTGCCAATAATAAGGCCTGGGTGTGGCCAGAGAAATTGAACTCAGGTGTGATAAACTACAGTTAAGTTTTAGCAAGGGGGGCAATCACTTTTTCACACCACTGTATTTGACTTACTGTATCCTAGAATAAAACTGGGTTGGCCATTGTACAAATCTTAGGCCAAAACTTTGAAAGCAAGGCCATTGCAGGCCGAACAGTTGGGAGTAACTTCAAGTTTTTGTTCACAATGCTTTTGTTAAAATCCAGCATGAGTTTTATGTATTTTAGGATGTATTTACTCTATGATCAGATGTTGCTTTCATGGAAATGCACCATTTTACTCCATTTACCTTTAGATATACACTGATGTTAACGGACCATTGCTAAGTGTATGTCAGCAAAAGATAAGGGCTCTTGCAAGAGTCACAACTTCAGTGCAAAAGCAAAAAAACAAATCAGTTGGATTATTCACTTCAACTTTTTGGCTTTTGAGAGTCTGCAGACAAAACCCTAATAAATCTCGACTGCGTTTAAACTACCACAGAAATGGCTAGAAAGAAGCAACTGAGTAAAGAAACAAAAGTACTGATTTGTACATTGAGGAAAGAAG